CTTCCACCCTCATACACGACAGTAATAGTAGCAAAGGACCCTCGCTCCCATGGGCATCACCCCACTCATCCTCCCAACGACTCTGTGGCAGAGTTTCTGGTTTCTGGTTTCAAAACAAGCAAACGACCGTGTATGGCTTTACAGGTGTCACACGAAATGACAGCGGCGAAGCTAGGACTCTAATAAAGGCCGTTCCAGCCGTACCCTACACAGGCTGTCATTGTCATTGTTGTCAGATGATGCCAAGTCAGGCCCCTGGTGGGGGGTGGGGGGGGGCGTTACTCCACACGCACTAGAAGGAAATGCTGCCTTGACCTGCTGTGAAACAGACCCCTGGGCTCCACGGCTTTCAGCAGCTGGGTGTTGGCAGCAGACTGCCAAGTCCAGCCTGGTCTGAAGGCGCTGTGGAAACAGCGCACTTGGCATCGCCATCGAGTCGGTTCCAGCCCACAGCGACCCTCTGTACACCAGCGCAAGAAGAGACCACCCGGTGCTCACGACGGGTTTTATGTTTGAGCCTATTGTCACCGCCACCATGTCAATCCATCTTGATGAAGGCCTTCCTCTTTCTCAGTGCCCCACGGATGCCCTTCTCCAGGGACCGGTTACTCCTCCCAGCATGTCCAAAGTCCATGAGACAAAGTCTTGCCACCCTTGCCTCTAAGGAACCTCCTGGCTGCACTTCGTCGGAGATAGATGTGTCCGTTCTTCGTACGGTCCATGGTGCTTTCAATGTTCTTCATCAGCACCATCATTTAAGTGCCCGGATCTTCTTGGCCTTCCTGATTCCGTGTCCGACGTTCACACGCAGACAAGGCGGATGAAGGCATCGTGGTCAGGCACACCTCAGTCCTCAAAGGAACCTCCTTGTTTTCAACACTTTAAAGGGATCTTGTGCCTCAGATTCATCCCGTGCAATCTGTCATTTAATGGCTTGGCTGCTGCTTCCATGAACGCTGCGTGTGGATCTGAGCAAGGCGGAACCCTCGACAACTTCTGTGTTGCTCCGTTTCTCGGGATGCCACCTGTTGGTCCAGTTGTGTGGCGTCCTAGCAGCACACAGGCCTCCTTTACTGGCCCTGGGTGGTGGCTGCGCATAAGACGCATTGGCCAGAACATCCAACCCCGGTCCCCCACGTGAAAAGCAAGAAATCTAGCACTGAACCACCAATGCTCTCGCTGTAGACATCATTCTCTAATGGGCAACCAAAACGGAGCTAAGATTCAGACAAGCTTACGTGGGAAGCGGGGCTCTGCCTCGACCTAGGGGTAAGGTTTGGAGGCTCCTGCGGTCTCTCAGCCTGTCTCGCCGCATTTTAAGTGGAATAAGGACGCCTGTTCAGCCAACCCCAGCAGGTCACAGTTCACAAGTGAAGGCCTTGGGTGGACCAGCAAGCATTTGATAACCTCAGGATGGCGAGCCTTCTCTGCCCCCGTGCCAGCAATGGGCTGTCCAAGCTCCACTTGAATACCTCTGGGGACAGAGAGCTCACGGCTACCTCTAGCACAGCAGTGCTCAACCTGTGGACCGCAACCCCTTTGGGGGTCGAACGACCCTTTCACAGGGATCACCCGATTCATAACAGTAGCAAAATGACAGTGATGAAGTAACAACGAAAATAATGTTATGGTTGGGGGTCGCCACAACACGAGGAACTGTGTTAAAGGCTGCGGCGTTAGAAGGATGAGAAACACAGCAATAGCAGCTCCTTCAGATTAGAAAGTTATGTCCTTGGCAAAGCCCAAAGGGTCCCGCTTGTAACTTCTTCCCAGCAGCCTGAGGCAGGCCCTCCCATGCCCTGCCAATCGCCTCGGCAGCCCTCACTGGCTGCTAAAGACACCCCCCGCCACGAGGGGACCTTGGTCCTGCCACCCTGCCCCGGCCTCCCCATGCGGGTGGACACAGGGGGCAGCCATGGGATTCTTGGTCTGCACTCATGCCGCTCAGCTGTCCTGTCCCTGCTTATCAGCCTCCGGAGCCGGCAGGAGCCGTTCCGAACAGAGGAGGGCACTCCAGGCAGTGGCGTCGCTGGTGGAATGCAGGCTGCCCTCGCTCACGTTTCTGACGCCCTTGCTCCCTGCAAATGCATTCGGTATCCCGCCTCCAGCTGGCCCTTGGGCCCCAGGGTCAGGATCCCCTGGACCTTAGACCGCTTGCTTTCAAGCAAGGCCCGTCCCTGTCCCAGAAATGCTCAGCCACTCCCATGCCCCCTACCTTAAAAGACTCCAGGAAGCCCCCATGGCCCCCGTTCTCAAGCTTGTCCTCCTCCGGGCCCAGCCCCAGCATCGCCTGGGTGTGGGCATGCAGCTCATCGTGAAGGTTGTCCAGGAGGGCTGCCCTCGTCCGGTCCTGGAAGCGGGGAGAGGAGGGAGTTGTGGAGCTGGCAGCAAGGGCAGAGAGGTGCCCCCTCTCGGAGTGGGATCCAGGTGCCTGGCCTACCCCACTGCATCCAGGAGAAGGTATGGACACACTGCCAGGCTGGGCTCCCCACTCACACATGCTACAGTCACCCCGAGTGCGCTACGCTCGCTGCCCCTCATCCCGGCGCCATCTCACCACTCCCACGGCTCTGCACACCATCTTGACCCT